TGAGGCTCTTTGTTGCGCTGATAGAAGGGGTGTGCGGGACTGACCAGTCCTATTGAGACGCTCCCAGACCGTCTATAAACATTTCTGGTTGGGGTCTGAACTGTCCACTGGCTGTGATCGTCGTCCTGTTTGCGACGTTAAATAATTCATGAGAAGATGGGGGATCTCCTTAAATCCTTCCTGATCAGCCAGATCAGTCAGACGTAAGGCTCGTTGCACGCGAGGGTAAACAAAGGGGCAGGCTGGTCATAAGCATACTTCTTGGGCACAGGGGTGGGCCGTGGTTGCACACCTTAGACACCGCAGCTTGATGATGCTCATAGGTACGTTGGATACAGGGGAAGGGGATTCCAATTGTGAACTCAACCGTACATCACTGACATATCCATTGTGCATACATCTGCTTACACTAGTCTAAGTTTTATTTTTGATTAGTTGGTTGACCGACTGCTGACACCTAACAGACAGACTAGAGTAGGACTGTAATCTACCATAGTCAGTTCTTCTCAAATCTTCTGTGCAGACTAATCAGAATAAGAGTTAGACAATGTGTACAGTTTGTGTAGATGTTGTTGATGCCGCTTGACTAGTAGGCTAGGTAACTCGTCGGACATTCATTTATTTGTTTATTTTTAGATCCGGTCAGACGCATGCTGCGGTAGGTTCCAACGAGGACATTAGTGCAGACAGCGTCTGCCTAACCTATGAGTGGTGGTGAGGGTGCAAATGACGATAGGAGGTTAACAAGGATATCATCCCTTAGAATTCCTAGAGTGTTCCAGACCCTACAACTGGGAGAAGAGAGAAGATTAAGGGCTGAAGCTAAGGCCCGTAATCTTGAGGCTGCAAGAGAAGCAACAACCGCTAGAGTAGTCGCAATGAGTAATGCTACTTCCGCAACAACTGCTGCGAACTCAACTCGTCAAGGACTAGGCATGCCTACCAGTTCACAGTCAATCTCCAATACGTCAGGGGTTGGCACTAGTCAGATGGCGGGCTCGCAGTTCAGCTCGCCACCTCCACGCACCCAGGAGCAGATGGATCCCCAACAAGTAGAGAGGATACGCTTAAGGTTAGAGGAGGAACTTAGACAGGCTACTAAAAGAGAGAAAGAGATCAAAGAAAGAAGTGTCAGATTAGAGGGCAGGGAGGCAGACATGGCTGCGCTAGAGGCATTAGAGGACTCTGCACTTAACACTACAGGAAAGATCCTGAAGGCAAGTGTCCTATCCATGCATGCGTACATAGAAAGTAAAATGGATGCAATGCAGGATACTCTAGACCAGATTTTGCAAGCGCTACGTAAGCCAGGGATCCGGCCAGCAGCTTTACCATCGCTGCCACTCTCAGCGATGACCGGCCTCTATGCAGCTCAATCAGGACCACCACCAAGTGTATCATCAACAGTAGCTTTATCTCAAACTATTGCTTCTTCATCTTCTGGTTCAGCGACTGTTGCTACACCATAGTCGCCACCTGTCTCACAACAGGGATAACAATATCCTTGGTACCCCAAGACCCCACTGAACCCACCTGCAACCTTCTCAGGAGATAAGAAGGATGAGGCTCTCGACACATGGTTGAGAATGGTGCCGGTGTGGGTAAGGGCAAAGAGGACATTGGTAGAAGAGGAGGTGATTACTGTTGCATCCTACTTAGAGGGTTCAACAGCCCATTGGCTAAACGGATTAGTAGCTTCAAAGGGCTTCGGCAGAAACATGCATGATTGGGCGCAGACCCACACATTAGAACGCTTTATGGACTTAGTGGAGGCTCGTTGGCACAACTCTCAGCAGGCACAGATTGCCACTGATGGGCTCTTGAAACTTGATACTAGAAAGTACAAGTCTGTGCGGGAACTCACCACAGCTGTAGAGCGCCTGATTGTCGTCCCGGGAGTGGAGTACAATCCACAGGTCTTGCTGACCATGTTCCTGAGATGTCTTCCAACAGACATTAGGAATTTATTAGCCAATGAGGCTCGCAGAGAGTATCACACTTTTGAGTCATTCAGCAAGAAGGCCCTAGACTTAGAGGCTACGCTGAGTGGAGCTCAAACCCCTTCTACAGATGGGAGAAAGAAGAAGACTCCGCAAGAGTGGAAGAAGAAGGGTAGTCGATTGATGATGGTTGATTCCGATGGGAATCAAACCGAGATCAATGATGTTTCCGATCTTGTGGAGGGTTCAGAGTTTGACGGCGATGAGAGTGCTGAGGGTATCAACCTCGCCGCCGTAGTTAAGACTATGGCAGCTGGCCGCGGCAAGGGCGGTCAACAAAGGAGTCAAGGGCAGGCCGCTAACCCAAACAAAATAGCTGTTTGGGTTAGAGCAGGTCTGGATCGAGAAGTGTGGCGGGACTGTTGGTCTCGTGGTGCTTGTATTAACTGCGGTGAGTATGGTCACACACAGTTCAAATGCAAGAACCCGAAGGTCTCGCAGAACATCCCTCCTAAGGGTGGGTTTTCTTTTTCTCAATTTGGGGCCTCCACGAGCTCCAGCTCGGAAAACACTTAGGGCCACTAGAAGTTATAGCTGCTTCTACTCTCGTTGAAGCGGGTGATGTACCCTTCCCGTTTCAAGAGATGGCCAAATCTATTGACTCCTTAGTCACCCCGCAGACGCATCCGGACCCAACTATACTCTATACGTTGGATGTGTCTGAGGGCTTAGAGGACCTTCAAGGTGAGTGGTCAGCAACGGACCCTCGTGAGTCCTGGGTGGCACTGAGTAGAGGTCCTAAAGGGGAGCACTTCGTTGTGGAAGTTGATGTGGGCGGTCGCAAGTGCGGCACTTTCGTAGAAATTGGCTCCACACGAAACTTCATAAGTCGCGACTGCGTTGACAGACTGTGCCTAAAGGACCAGGTGCAGCGCCTTAATAGACCGGTAGCATCTACTTTGGCCAACAAAGAGCGCATGATGGTGGCGGACTACGTGAAAGATGTAGTCTGCACCTTCTCCTACCCAGGAGGAGAGATAAACCATAAGATATCTTTCCTGGTGAGCGACGAGTTGCCCTTTGACATGTTATTGGGCATGTACTACCTCGAGGTTGCCAAGCCCCAGTTTGACTGGGACAAGAAGGTGTTGAAGCACGAGTTGCCTAGTGGGAGAACCGTGAGACTGGCCAAGTACAAAGCTAGTAGGTTAGTAGACTCCTATGGGTCCTTATGCACATCTGCCTTTTATAATCATTATAAACATAACCAAGAGGAAGGAATGTACTTAGTCTATGTCTTTGCAAAAAGGGAGGCCGCTAAAACGCCCCCAGAGATAGAGACCATCGTCGCTAAGTACCCAGATCTGTTTGAGGAGCCTACAGGAGTCGTAGACAGGGAGATTGTCCATGCCATAGAGATTATCCCAGGTAGTAAAACACCACAGGGTAGAATCTATAGGATGGCTCCAACCGAGTTGGACGAACTTCGGCGGCAACTGAAAGAGCTCACAGAGAAGGGTTGGATCCGGCCTAGCACTTCCTTCTTTGGCTCACCATTATTGTTTGTTCCAAAGAAAGGGGGGACACTAAGGATGTGCATTGATTATAGGGGCCTCAATGCCATCATTGTTAACAACGCAGAGCCTCTACCACGCATCAACGACCTATTGGATAGGGTGCAGGGATGTAAGTACTACACAAAGATAGATTAAAAATCCGGCTACCATCAGATTGCCATTAGACCAAAGGACCAGTACAAAACCGCATTTCAGACCAGGTACGGTCTGTATGAGTTTGTGGTGATGCCATTTGGCCTTTGCAATGCGTCGGGTACATTCCAGCACGCTGTGTATCTTTTTAACGGAGAACGGACGGAGTTAAACGCCCGAACACCCGTTTAACACGCCCCAGGGCCCCCGTTGAATCGCGTTAAACGCAAAAACGGGGGCGTCGCGTCGAATTCCGAAAAACGGAATTCGCGCCCGAACACTCAAACCGGGAAAAAAAAATAAAATTTCCCCCCCCATTAACCCCCCCCCCCCACACACTCCCAAGAGCCCAAAAAACCCCTCTCTGACCCCGAACACACCCCCGGGCCCTGTCCCCCCAACCTACACATTCCCAACGCCACCCCC